CTTGCTGTGTTCTCCATGGAGCAGAACCAGGAAGGGTGGGGCTCCCTGTCTGCTTGCTGTGTTCTCCATGGAGCAGAACCAGGAAGGGTGGGGCTCCCTGTCTCCCATCAGGGAGAACAGTAATGCAATTGTTTGACCAAAATCAAAACTATAAGAAAATCCAGTGTCCAGGTGTTAGTATGGGTGAGTTGTTCTCATCCAGGAATCCAGTCAGAGATGTTTTTTTCTTCCGGAACAGAGAGCAGCACTCACTGTCTGTTACTGCCGCAGTATTTCAGTTTCAGGCATCTTCTGCTCCCCCCCCCCGTGGGACGACAATAGATAGGGGTTTTGTCGCCAGGATACACTTCCCCTTTTGGAGGGTTGAACTGAGACACTGTCGTCAAGAGCCAACCGCAGGAGGGGAAAAAGATCCAAGTCTCTCTCTGTTTGAGCTGTGACGTCTTCAGTTACTGGGCTTTAGTCTGGTCCAGTGTGGAACGTAGGACTTGAATGAGTGTGCAACGTTCATGCTTGCTCACTTAGCCTGACCTCTTCTCCAGTGCTGTATTAGAGGTAGTAGGAAGGAAAATGCAAGAATTGCTTGTCAGAGTAGGACCCTTACTTATGCCGCCGATAATTGATAATCTTCTCATTTTTGTTACAGCAGGAGATTGTCACTGGAAATTCTGCTATCCAGCGTGGCTGTAAATAGCACTACAGTCTGACAATTCCAGGCTTGGTGTTTGAAGCACTCTGTGAGTGGACTTTGCAGGCTCTCCCCATGTCCTGTGGCGAGTCTCAGATTTTCGCTTAGCATGTACGTATCTTCCCTGGCATCTCTACCAGGCCTGTCTTTCCTAATAGGCTCCAGGCTCACCACGACCCTGCCCTGGGCCATTGATTACGCAAGATGGATGGATGGATCTTTGTGAAATGTTGCATGTAGCTAGATTATAATAAAACAGTATACATAAAATATGGTACCTCTGTATAATGCTTCTCAAGTAAAAACCATAAATCTGTGCAGCTGGGTGTAATGGTGGTTTTCCACAGCAGTCTGTACGAATCAGTCATATTGCAGTGTTATTCAGAGAGTCTCCATCACCAACCTCCTGATTGTTACCACAATCTGCCGCCCGCTTCGGCTGGTCGAGATGTCCCAATCTATCACACGGCGGTCACGGCCGTCGGCACAACGATTTGCCGGGACCACACCGATTACCGAGACAGAGAGACTGTCTGTGGTCACGGGACAGTCTGCCACCGAAATGCCACAAGGTCAGGTTTAGGAGACAACGCCCAGAGCTCCTTTTATGTACTTTTCGGGGTGGAAACGCATCTCGTAACGTTTCTAATGAGTTCCAGATTTAGGGGATTAATTGAATGTATGACGTGTCTCTCGGCTGCTAATAGCGGCTGTTTGTGCTCTGTAGGTGTGTAGAGGGAACCAAAAATAAAAAATCTGAATGCTAACATTTACTACTGATAAAATTCTTAGCTCCTATTGTAACTAATAGCATATAAACATTTTAAATTACATTACATATTAATGTTTATTAGAGATGATTAATAACGTAACATGTGGGTAAAAGTGTGGCTGGTCTGAGATGACAGACAGCTGCTTGGGTCTTGGCTTCGCTCGTCCTTTATTCATAAGGGCGAATTAACTTTGGTGACTGAAGCTGATTCCTGTTGAAAACCTCGGATGAATGCTGATTTAGAAGCCCTGACAAACCACTTTTGTGTTGCACACGAAAACCTGAGATTAGATTGATCTTATTGGCATAATACTGGTGTCACACTATAGCAATGAGTTAACAGTACAGGAGAGAGTCTTACCCACATGGTGGGTAGAATGAGGTGCGCAGTGCACACTTGTGCAACACCTTGTGTCGTATTTCCAGTTTAAAATATGCCATTTGTTACCTTTAATGAACGTTCAACTAACTCCAACCGTGTTTACGTTGTTCTGCTACTGTAACCATGTTACCTGTGTTAAAGCCTGTATGTTTTCATTACTTAGACTGTTTAAAGACTCTTAGAACTAAATGTTCTAAAATGTCACTAAAAGTTATTTTTAGATTCTTCAGTAAATTTGTTAACATTGACGACAGTTCCCATCAACACGCACTAGGTGGTGACAATGTGCTGCATTTTTCACACTACAATGTGTCTGTATTCCGAGGGTATTTTGCATGTCTGCGATGGCCACGGGGCAAAAGAAAAGCTTGTTTTACATGCTAGTCAGCAAGTGGAGGGACACTGGTATGTTAATATGCCCTTCAGTCCAGCAGGGGGCACCGTGACTGGTGCTGCATGAGCAGTGAATGTGGAGATGCCACCTGGCATGAAATTCGGGAAGAATATCAGCATAATACAATAACATTAATATACATATTAATATAGATCTTTGGGGAATGCTCTGTGGACGGGGCAGCGTGCACTGTGGGGGCTTCACTGCGTGTGGCCAGGGGCATGGGTGCAGTGACATTTTCTGGGCATGAGTCCAGTCAGATTTAGCCAGTTTAGCGAGGGGGCAGTCATGCTATAAATGAAGGGTGTATGAGCTGATCGTGACTCTGCCTTGTATCCATCAAGGGTGGGTGCTCTGTGTCTTACTGTAAAATTTAAAATAACAGCATTAAAAGTATAGGGTTTTTTTTTTATATGCAAGATACTTTCAGTTGCGTTGTGCAGTTTAATTAGCGACCGCAGCGTCTTTGATTAAAACAGAGAGGCGCTCGGGATGTCCCCGGAGCGGCCGGCTCTCGAGCGTGCAAACAGGCCGCAGGTGCGGCTACATGCTGATAAACGCAGAGGCGACAGAGGGCCTCTTTAAGGGGGGTGCCACCGCCTTTACAGCACCGACCGCGCCTGGGGAGGAGGGCACGCCCGATGGGGGAGTGTCCGCCTGGCTGGATCGGCATCTCCGTGGTGCCGCTTCCCGCGGAGCCCTGCTGGGGACCTAAGGTGACAGTGACGACTGTCCGCTGTCCGCCTGCCTCTCTCACTTTCACTCTGTACAGTTTGCTTTGGTTTCCCGGTGGTTTCATTTGTGCTTCACTGATCGCCCCCACCCTCTGATTCTCTGACCCCCCCATTGTCAAGCTGTCTGCTGAATAAGAGCAGTGTGTGTGTGTGTGGGCAGACAGGCCTTGCACCATTTTTGCATGACCCTCCAGTATTCGGATTTTAATCTCTTCCCCCTCATTCGCCCGACCCCTATCTGTTGGGGGCGGAGACAATGCTGGTTGGTGGAGGGGTCTACCAATCGCAATCGACCCTGATCCATGGCATAAGAGACTGCAGACTCTAATCTGACAGGTGTCACATGGCCACCAGGGATGGGCCTGGGCCAGTCTGAGTGGGACAGGTCTGGCTGTTCATTACACCCCAACTCAGATTGGCTCTTCATCACACTCATCCTCGGCCCTGTTCAGCGTGCGGAAAATGACAGGTAGTTTAGAACAACCATCATGCAATGCGCACTTAAGTGTCTTTAATGTAAATGTAAGCAAAACAGTTTCTGTATCTGGGATTTGCATAAACTGTGAGCGAGGGCCCAGGAGCGCCCTCTGCTGTCCGTATGGGGGAGTCTCTGCTGAGTTTGCGAGCACAGGAAGCGCTTATCCACCAGCGTGTTGAGTGTTCGGTATGGTCTGCTGTGTCACAGCCCTAACGGTCCCCCCCCCCCCGATCGGCAGGCTGACGCCAAGATGGTGTGTGACGTGGTGAGCCGCATGGAGGACACGGAGCCCTACTCCCCCGAGCTGCTCTCCGCCATGATGCGCCTCTGGGCCGACTCCGGCATCCAGGAGTGCTTCAGCCGCGCCCGCGAGTACCAGCTCAACGACTCCGCTCAATAGTGAGTACCGGGCACGGCCACTGGGGGCTGCCGTACGGTTTACACCGCAGGGTGTGTCTGACGGAGAAGTATGTGCGGATATGTGTCTGTCCCCTTGTGTGTCACCATGAGGGCTGGAGCTGTCAGTGCAGGTACTGGGATATGAGGCGTCACCCCCCTGGACAAAGTGACTGGTTTGTTTTCATTAGCCAGTAAATGCACTGGGTGGATCCTGCATCACACAGGTCACTGTTTCGGGTCGACTGGAACTCTCAGGCAGCCCAAATTCACACACGGAGCCGCCCACGTGCCGATCCGCTTCAGTCAGCGCACCCTCCCCAGCGACGGGAGAGCGGGAGCAGTGGGACATGGAAGGTCAACCCGTGGCTGAGATGCCCGCAAGCCCATGTGAAGGTGTCAAAGGTCAAAGGTGACACGACAGAAATGAAACGTCAGCAAGCCCTAAGAAGACAGGCTCTGCTCCGGACACCCAAACACGGCACGGCAGGCCTCTTCAGCGCCCCCATCTGGACAGCAGCTTCCACAGACAGGGGGCTCCAGTGAGCTCACCTCAGTCTCCAATAGCCAAGCCAAGCTGGGGGGAGGCAAAAAGCTGATTACTTACAATATTCTCTGGTCCTTCCTCCCCCATCTATCTTTTCCCCCCACTGTTAATGCCAAATTTGGGGGCACAAATGAAGAAGCGTGTCCCTGTTTTCAGGGGAGACTCAAATAATTGCAAGCCTTGGTAGTTTTCATTGTGCATAACCAGGGAATGCTGAGCATTCTGGGAAAAGACACAATGGTCTGTTTGCGTGCATCGTCGGCACTCCTGGAGCGTCCCCTGGACTTCGCCGGGACCCGGGACCTCATTAGAAGGGATGGCAGATGTGTATCGTCATGGCTGCGGGCCTGCAGCGTCGCCGCACTCCTCCAGGGCTTGGGGTTTGAATCCCACCCCCAACCGGAGTGTGTGCACGTTCTCGCCATTTCATCAGGGCTTCCGCAGGGAACACTGCTTCTCTTCTGCGGTCCCAAGACGTGTATCTGGTATCTCTGCACTGCCCAGAGTGTGTCACTGTGTCTGTGTCCCGGCCATGGCCTGACCTCCTGTCCAGGATGTACCCCTCCCCTATGGAAGGGCCCCAGCCCCCGCAATCCTAACCAGGATAAGCAGTTAGAAGATGGATGATCTTGCTTATCCCTTTGGGGCGGGCAGCCTCCGCAGGCTGGGGGGGGGCTGTGGGACTTTCTTTGCTGATGTCGTTTTGCCTTCCTGGCACAGACGGGTAACACATTGACGTTTCCATAGGATAACAGCAAGTAAGGTCACGCTTTCAATTACTCAGGTTAAAAACATCAGATTATCTCTGATTTGTTAGTGTCTGCGCATATTTTAATGCAGACCTCTGTATGTTATCGTTTCACCATTTTTAGTTCTGTCAGGGGTACATGTCAGTTTTTATATCAAGCTGCAAGCCCAGCATTGGTTGGCGGAGATTGTAGTTTATTCTTCAGTGCTAAGCCATGCTGGTGTGTCATTCGTTTCAGTCGGCTGCCGCTCTCTTTTTCACGGAATATTTCGTGCTGGTCCGATATCTTCCATTCTGCTGTCTGGAACGTTCTCCCCATAGCTGACGTGTACAAAGAACATCAGCGTATTCTCTGATCTTGACCTAATCTTTTTTCTTTTCTTCTCACTCTTTCCCTCTATTTTTATCTTTCGCTCCCCAGCTACCTAGACAGTCTAGACCGGATCGGCGCCGCAGACTACCAGCCCACAGAACAGGACATTCTCAGGACCCGAGTCAAGACCACGGGCATTGTAGAAACTCATTTCACCTTCAAGAATCTGCACTTCAGGTAGGACTCCGGCCTCCACGGCCCCCTCCCACCCCCACTACAGCCTTTGAGGTTCTGAGTGAGTTCCAGATGTTGGCCCAGACTTCCGTGGGGGATGTAGGCAGGGGGCTAATGGTCCAGGAAGGACCCCTCACGTTCATATATCAGGCCGCCGCTCGCTGCACTAATGGATTTCCGCCATCTGGACCCAAATGTGGCGGGTCACCCCCCCAATTCTAAGAAAGTGAGAGAATGGCTGTGTTCCACGGATTCCACATCCGCGATATCCGGCACTGAGTCCAGGTTCCCAGACTCCCAAACTAAATCTGAGCCTGGAAGGAGAGCAGCCGTATCCTTCTTCTGGAAAACTCACCTTGACTAGACCCTAAGATTGACATCCTGTCTGTGGGGACATTGCAGCACAGACCGGGTGACACACTGTGATGTTATTGGCTGATGCTGTGGGGCTGCAGCTCCCATTGGGCTCAAAGACATTGACAGTCCCCAGAAAAAACCCTGCAGTTGGACTCTAGAGCAGAGATCTATCCTCTAATGAACTAAACCTGAATTATTCTGTCGCATTAACGGGTGGATCTGTAGACCCCTGTGGGAGAAAAAGTGACTTTAATGTGTGTCATTATAAGTTAATATATGAGCTTAATTATCAACTAAAGAGAAAATTGCAGTTTGAAAAGTTTGGGAAGTATTCAGACATGTTATGTTTGTGAATATAAGGCAGTAGGATGACTGAGAGAGTTAGAGTTTAAACTGTGAACTTTAAATGTAGATCATAGTTAGATAATGAGGGCAGAATTGGATTAACATCCATAAGGAGACCATTAAATCATCCTGCTTCAATTTAGCTGTTGTTTTTAATGATACATTTTGACTCAGGTGGTCGATTTTAATATTTGGAGCCAGTTAGTCATTTTATTGAGCTGACAGTTCCGATGCTGGTGGAAGAAACCATGAATCCAATACCATGTGCCTTCAGGCTGTTTGATGTCGGAGGTCAGAGGTCAGAGAGGAAGAAGTGGATCCACTGCTTCGAGGACGTGACAGCCATCATCTTCTGCGTGGCCCTGAGTGGCTATGACCAAGTGCTGCATGAAGATGAGACCACGGTGAGTCATCCCCGGGGGCTGCCCACGCGAGGTATAGGTACTGTGACCAAAGCGTGGGGGTTGGGGGTGCTGTGCCGCACGGTACAGACCATGGGACACGGCGGAAGGTCAGGGACCGAAGATGTGGGAAAGATTCCTGCAGCAAACTCCGGTAACACAGTGACGACACACTCGCAATGCATATAACAGAAAGATGCCGGTAAACGTGTGGGGCTTGTGTCACGAAAAAGTGTACAGCTGCACATCAAGACACACAAAAACACCATGCACACGCGCGTGCCCCCATGTACACCATCAGGGTCTGCCTCTATGGCTCTCGTTTACCAGATGTCCTCCTGTCGCAGTTCAAAGTACAGCTCTCTGGAATCACCGGGTATCAAGACGACAACTGGGGGTGTTATAATAATCAGCGTGGGAGGGCAGACACAGACTGTGTTGGGATGGGGTGGGGCCGCGAGCCCATGACGACCAGCCCACCGGAGACGGCTCCAAGTGTCCTGGAAGAACCCAGAAAGTTGCCCGGCGTGTCCCCGTTTGCTCATATCAGGAGACGCGGTACATCATTATCTGCTTCCCATTTTTAATTTCTCATTTTCCTTGTTCCTTGTTATGAATCTGCACAGAGAAGCAGCAGGAATTAGTAAGGGAAGGGTAGCATGAGAGCTGGTAGATGGAAATATCATGACTGGGGGACAATTTGTGTTTGAGAAATGAATCTTCTTGAGATGTACGGCCCTCTCTGAAGGGCTGTACAGATTTTGACCTCGTTTACATTTGGATTTTTTAATTTTAGAAACATTGATAATGTCAGATAAGCATTCTGCCAGACAGTGACACACACCCTGATTCCTGACACCATCCTGCCTGTTAGTCAGCTGCCCAGGGACATGCAGACTCCTGGCATCTTCACAGATTAGTGCCCTTTTTAGCAAAATCTACTGCATACCTGCCCTTCACACAATGTTACTGAGCGGCTTTTATAAACCCTTAAGTTGTGTCTAAACCACAGTGAGGGTCCATTTACCATTATCAGAGTGAGGGTGTATTTGCCATTAGCACAGGGAGGGTCCAGATTGAAGGTCCTTTTGCCATTAGTAGAGTGAGGGTCCATTTTCTTTTAGCAAAGTGAGGGTCCATTTGCCATTTACAGAGTGAGGGTTCAGTTTGAAGGTCCATTTGCTGTTAGCAGAGTGAGGGTCCAGAGTGAGGGTCCATTTGCCGTTAGCAGAGTGAGGGTCCCTTTGCTACTAGCAGAATGAGAGTCCAGAGTGAGGGTCCATTTGCCGTTAGCAGAATGAGGGTCCAGAGTGAGGGTCCATTTGCCGTTAGCAGAATGAGGGTCCAGAGTGAGGGTCCATTTGCTGTTAGCAGAGTGAGGGTCCATTTGCCGTTAGCAGAGTGAGGGTCCACCTCTGTTGGGTATCATCGTCTGCTGTCTCTCTGTTGATCGCTGAATCATCGGCTCTGCACCCAGTACATTCTGCTGCTCATGCCATCTGCTGGGGCTGACTGCTGAGCTGCTGTGAGGAACCAACTTCCTGTTCGGTCAGCATTCAGCAGACATGTGCACTTCAGATTCATTCAGTCCTCTCAGTATTCGAATGAACCGCATGTCCGGCCGTAAACTTCAGACGAAATTAATGGAATGAACGTCATTTTTGCAATACAATGTTGTATGACGTGAAATCACTGCAGTGATCACTGTTTCAGTGCACTGCCTATGCAGGGTCCCCGAGACGAACCTTTTTGTTTGTTCTGATCCCAATTGGCTGACATAAATGTGATGCCGCGGCGTTGGTCAGCAAGACTAATTATGCCGGTACCAGCATGCTTTGCAACGCACCACACGTTAAATAGTGTAAATTAATATGTGTATTTGTATATTTCTATTAAGACTGAATGTCACATTTCTGTGACGTTGGTCGTGAAATGCGTGTGTTTCGTAACCGTAACCATCAGTGTTATTTAAATCGTTGGCTTCCTTGTCTGTGGTGCATCTAATATTAAACCAATACTGGCTGTTAATAAAGAGACAAACTTCTTCTTTAAAAGAGCTGTCATCTCTGTTATTAAAATGACTCACACACTCGCCACAGTACGTTTATTTACACTCTGTGTGTGGGTCTGCACCCTCTAGGGCTGTGACGCGACACAGAACCAACGAGGTGAAAGCATTGTTTTGAGTATGCGGAAGATTGCCCACGGCGTTGTGTTTGATTTCGTTTTGTCCGGATGTCATTTTGAAGTATACAGCCACAGTAAGTCCTCATTAAAGGCCTTAAAAGCAAATATTTGTCATTAAAACCCAGGAGAAATACCTCAGTGTGAATCAGTCCGCGGTACATTGTATGTTCTGTTCAAGTCACTGCTACATAGATGGCAGGCAAGGCAGCTGGACACCGTACCCATGGACTGACAGTTACAATAAGGGCTTGTGGGGAGGGGGCAGTGCAACCTAGACACTGACACTGATGGTCATGGTCATTCTGGGGGGGGGTGGAGAGTCAGCGATGCCTTGAAAAGCGTCTCTCCTGTTGCAGAGTCTTTCCCACAAAACAGGTTTCCCTGCTGCAGGGACTTGCAGTTTCATAAGGTGAGGAGAGTGTCAGTCAGCACGTACACATGAAGTATGGCGGCTTCCTTTACTCACCGTGACAACGCGCGTGGATCTGCATGCGTGCCTGCTTGGGCTTTACTGTAAGGCCGTGATAAGCATTGCTACGGTGACGGATTCCTTTTGGGCTCCTCCCTTTTGCCTGCGTGTGATTGGCTTCAGCTTACCTGCTCTTGACTCTCTTAGGCTGTCCTTGGAAGGGGTGGGCGGAGCCACATATGCGCCTCAATCCACTCAAGTCCCGCCTCCACTCCAAGCTACAGAGCCCCACTGCGCACTCAACTCTCACTTTCCATTATAACCAATCATTACTGTCCATGGAAGGGGTGGGCGGAGCCACATATGCGCCTCAATCCACTCAAGTCCCGCCTCCACTCCAAGCCACAGAGCCCCACTGCGCACTCATCTCTCACTTTCCATTATAACCAATCATTACTGTCCATTTAAAAACCCGACTCCAGGGCCATCAAATGCCCTCGCACGTGTAAAACAACTATAACTAAGTTAAAAGCATTCTGTAGTTACGCTGTGAAACATAATAGTTTTTAAGGTTACTTCCAGGATTTTTGTGTCTTTGTGATAGTATTTTCAATGTATTCAGAGGCCCCTGTAAAGTGCCCCCCCAGTCTGCCCCATGCCCCTACTGCACACTCTGATTTCACCCCTAAGAATTCTCACCCTGCCCCAGAAACCTTCCCTCTTCTTCCTTATCCTCCCAAGTGTTTTTTTAATTGAAATTGGCCATTCCTCCCGGCCGTCCTCTCTAACTACCGCCTTTGCATGGATGCACTGTGGGTCCCATAACATGAAGGCCAAAGGAGTCACCGCAGTGACGGGGGGTGCCATCTCACCTGAGGCATGAAGATCCCCCCCCCCCACCCGATTTCACCCCGTTCTATCATCACAGCAGATTTATATCATGTATCCCCTGCCTGGCCATGTAATCATGAGTTAGGCCCGGTCAGCTTAAATGTGCTCACTCTAGCACTGTGACTAGGACCTCTACAAAAAACAATAATATGGCATCTGGGTAAACAACAGATGCCTGATACACTTTCAAGGTTGCTGGCTTGTCTTACAGTTGGCTCAAAATCGCAGCACTTGTCTAAGTCCTGCGCTGAGGTTGTTTTTGTAAACATGAGCTTCGGACTTGCCCTGGGTGTTCCGATCCTCATTAGTCAAACCCTTTCGGATTAGCGGGTGCAGCTGGAAGTGTCAGGTGACCGGGTGCTTTCTGTACACAGAAGCTTGTGCATCCGACCAGGAAATAGTTTGATGGTATCCGTGACAGGCAGTGAGTTAGAGTAGCCACAGGCTGCGTCTCTGCCTGTCAGGAGAATGCTGGTCCTGAGAGCCCTTTCTGGATGCGTGTCTTCCAGGGCATGTTGGTAATTCATCCAGCCAGGTGGAGGGAGCCAGCAGGCTGTGCAGAGTTTGTCATTTGCATGCCCAATGGCCGACTGCTTACCCCGGAGGAAGTTCATTTGCCCAGTTAACCACGAATAACAAAGATACTGGAAGTTGTCCGGCCCATGAAACAGTGAGTTTGGCCCTAATCCAGCATAAACCAGCAGCACCTGTAATCGAGGTAGATCATTCACAGGAGACCTGAGCATCATGATTCCCAGTAATTGTGATGAAGCTCAGCACCCACCTCTGTGTCTTAAAGACCGTTTTGGGTGCTGTTCATTATAACCAAGTGCAGGTGGGATGTTTCCAGTGGTCAGTCTTATCATAACAGGATGACTGGTTTCACTCTCGTCTTCTGCTCTTTCTTCACCCTTTTACCCCTCTGTTCTCCGTCTTTTGTCCGCTTTGCTCCTCTTCTCATATCTTATCTGCCAGACCTTTCATCTCGCTCTCTCTTGCGACTGTAATCTCTCCCTCTGTCTCCACCTCCTTCTTATCTGTTCTTCCTTCTACCTTATTACCCCCAGGGAGGTGTCTCCCCACGTGCCCCCATGTGGCTGTTGGGATATGTATGGACGCCCATTCTGGGATCTGGCCCTTCGGCGACGTGGCTAGAGAAAGGAGCACTCGCATTACAACGTGCAAACCGATAGCCGATTCTTTTTTACGTGCCAGGAGCAACTGGCACGATACGGAAGAGAACCTTTTGAAACCCGCCTCCTGTACCGAGCGCAGCAGGTCAGAACATGAACCGATCACACAGGATGTGTTGGTCCCCGTCCCAGGTGATACGCCAGTGAGAATCACTCCAGCTGCGAAAATAGGTTAAATGGTTCAGCTAGACAGCAAAACATAGCGTGGGCCTGGGCGTCGTTAATGATGTCGCTGTGTGAGCTCTGAGGACGGACCCCGACCCACAGCGTGGGCACGTGAGCTGGCACCTGTCTCCCCCTGACTCCGCGGCCCGTTTCCCAGAAGGCGGTTCTGACCCCGCTGCCAGGCTCGTCCAGCAGAGCCAGG